AATTACAAGAACCATCGATCCTTGAACAGCCCCGAGCAAGAAATTATTCCTCACGAAGAGATTTCCGTAAACGTCGTTGTGAGTCAGGCGTTTGCTTTGCGGATTGCGTTGCATCCTCTGTCCCTGAGTGGTAGCAGAATTGTGCTTGCAGATGGCCGCAAGAACTGCCTGTGACGCACCCACGTGGCTTGAACTATATGGCAGTTACGAGCGATAAGAACCAGCCTTACTGAAATTTACTTTTCTTATGGCGCGCTCCCTGTACGAAAAGAAGTGTTGTTGGCTAAAGCGACAATCGGTTTTCATACATCGTTTCATATGCGATATAAAACTGAAGTCGGTAAAAATTTATATAACTGAATTCGCTAGTCTTTAATATTATATTATGTCACTAGTTTATGTTAAGCTTTATTGCATGAATACATGTTTTGAAAACGAGCGACTTAAGGCGCGAATTAAATAGTTATTAGTAAAAGGTCGTTTATAATGCTGGAATACAAAAGAAATTTACTAATGATATGTTTATTATGTCTGTTAAAATTATTGCTTACTGATAACAATCAGATGCGCACAGAAAATTGACTGGCAAAATTTAGTAGAAATAAAATCTACAACTAAAATGTATTGTATTTAAGGAAGTTACACCTTTACCGTGATAACTTCAAATTATTAAAAAAATCTTTAGTAAAGAAAATTACAAAATACTCCATAAAATTAACCTACACAATTATTAAACAACCCAAAAGTACAAATTTATATAACAATTTTCTATTGGTATCTCACTACAATGGGAGACTGCAGTACCACCGCCCCACCTATCTACTTCACTGTCGCGGGTCAAACAGGCACGCCACCACTTTTTGCATAGATTGCGAACTTCTATTATGAATATTACATTTTCGGATTCTCATTATTTTCACACTGCGTGTTATAATGACTGACAACGAAATGGGGAAGTAACGAGAAAGACCCTACGCGATCCTATAAAATCATTATCAAATTAATATTTGAAATCAATTTTCATTGGAGGAATACTAGAAACAATTTTGTGAAATTTCATCCCACCAAAAGAAAGCAATTTCGTTCTCCCCGGAAAGTATATAACTGTATTATTTAATTACTAATATTTCTATTAATTGTATTACTATGGTATATGTTTACATTTGTCAACGTGGTTTGGCTTATTATTCAAATAGACCCATAAATAAATACAAAACTATGCTTAATTTTCGTCTTGGCCCGCACAAACTAAAATATTTCTATCTGGCTTAAAGGATTGGGCCTATCTAGAAGAATTCCAACCCCTGATCTAAAGGATCGTGTGAATTTCTACTTCAGGAAAAGAACACGATACGTAGATTCCGCGAGCATTGGTCCCGTTAACGATCTTTCCAGATGTGGGTTTAACGAGATCCAGGGAAAATCGCGAACAAAGAAGCCGGCCTTCCACTCTCTCACTGAAATAGAAGCCATATAATTTGTTAGGATCAATCAATGCAAATCCGAAGAGAAATCCATCTAACATTTCGGTAGGAAAGCCGCAATGGAGCGTGGTGCGCCACGAGCAACCGGAACCAGACGCAAGAAAATTGCTGTTGGAAACAGAATGTCCTTCCCGCTTGCGTTAACACGTGGATTTATCTGATTCCGCCTGTTATATAATTAGATTCTAATCTGATGAAGATAATGATTTTATCATAACGTTCGATGTATATTTTACTTTTTAGGTAAGTGCATCGTTTTTACGATAACCCGGCTTAACACTTCACGCTTATTTCAATCTCTTTCAAATGTTTGACTCGTTAATATTAAAAATACCTAGTTCACAAGCTACAGGTGTAAGGTTCGAATATATTATATCATCTCGATGCACAGAAAATTCTCAGTGGAAAAAAGTCCTAACGTCCCTTGGAAGAAAAATGGAAAGGACGGGCCTAGATTTGTCATGTCTACAAACTGGAAATGAGATGTAGAAACGGTGGATGAAATACTATTCACCAATTTACCGAAAAAGAAATGAGAAAAGAAAGTAGTGGTGCTACAACAGTACATACTTTCATGCATTTGTGACGACTTCGCAATATTATTACACAACATGGACCTGCAAAAGTGTTTCCAATAGTATTCTTCACGCTGGTGCAAAGGGCCTTAGAGATGGTACGCCATTCACGTTACGCCTACACCACAAGCCTCACAGTTAAGCGCCACCTCCGCAACGCTTGAAAAGGAATTAAAAGCTTGCATTTGAAATATTCAAAAATTCAGAGATTTTCATTTACATTTATTCACGATCTAGTTTTAAAGGGATTTCATTAAAGAAATAAATGATCATCAATACTGCAGTTTTGCAAAGTGAATTCGTTGTTTCCAATTTTCGAAAATACAAGAGTTCGCCGCAAATGGAACAGGCATCACTTGCTTTACCGGCTACATTATCCGGCTACATCCAAAGATAAAATTGAAAGAACAATTTGATATCGATTTTGAGAAAATAATTGTTTACAAATTGCCTATATTTCACGAAAAAACTACTTATATTTTCCAAAAAATGTACATCTTATTTAGATATGAATTAGAACAGATTTTATTAAGGAAAAAGCTCTATCTTCAATATTGCATTTGTAGAAAAACGCTGAAAAAATGTCAACTTATGCAATTTTCGAAAATTTCGAGATTTCAACAGAAATAGAACCTGTGGTTGTTGTACGCGTCCATTGCGCTTTCCGAGGAAAATGTTTAATAAAAAAGTGCAACCATTCTTGAGAAAATTTTGAAAATTGAACCTTTATATAAAGTACCCCCAAAAATCAAAATAACAGTTTGAACCTCACAGGGCTTCTATTCGTCCAGACGATCGGGAAATGTCATTTTTGGAGAAAATCGTCTGAATGGTTTAGGCGCAAGCGTTGTGCGCAGACGGGCGGACATTTTGCCGTCAGTCAATTTTTTGGATTCTGACTACACATGTTGAAGTAAGTACAATATTATTTACTGCGAACACGTTTTATCCACTTTTTCTTTAGCAGGTCCCAACAATACGAGTTTTACTGACAGAAAATCGCCGATTTCTACCGTAGCATTACAATATGTTCTTTACTACGTAAGTACATAGTAAGGCGAGAAAGTAAAAACCTGAACGGGAAGGGAAAACCACCAGGGACCACCACGAGCAAGAAATTTACATTAACAATTTTGGGTTTCCTGAAATTGGTAGGGCGAGAAGGGACATTTAGGCAGTGTCCATATAGCAATTTGAACATTACCTAATCGCGAGCAGGAAGTAGCGAAGCGGAGTCTGTGTTAAGCAACCATAGCAATGCGTGGGAGAGTGCTACAACTGCTGGAACGTAACAGGAATTCATAACATCCTCAACCTGTTTTTTTTTTGTTTTGTTTTGTTTTTTTCCTTCTTTCCCACAGTCCTCGCTCGCTCAATAGCAAATGAGTGAATGATTCAGATCTTCAACTAGGAAGTTTCAAAAACTGTCGTGGTGAAGATCATGATGGGGAAAAAAGTTACTCTTAGCCAAGAAATTGCGAGGAGGGAGGATACTGACAGTCAATGGCGGCTCATGTAGGATTCTTAAGAGGAAAGAAGACATGAAAATATTATTACATTAAATGAAACATACAATAAATTACTAGATTACATACAGATGTAAACGAAAAGAAGAGAGAGAAGTATCGTTTCGATTTGCCCTATCACTCGGGTTTCCGCCCACAGTGCTGCCACGGGTGTGAAGGAAATTACAACGTGCCCATTCCTTTCCTACGTCCTGGTCCACGATCTGGCCATGATTCATGAACGTGTGGGCTCCAAGCAAACGCCGGGTGTCCATTTGTTTGCAATATCTGATAATAGATGGCATTCTAGAGGAGGGTGTCCTCCGCTTTTAGTGTAGCTTGTATAGCTACGCTAAAAACGTATCTGCTTCTTGCCGCCGTAGCGCTATGCATTACGGGCCATTGCTACACGAGAGGAGGAAACGATGAGAATGCCTCCCGTATTTACACCGTGATTCCTCCTAAAAGCGATTTCGAGTTTTCGCTTTGCACAAAAAGCGCGCGCAAATTAAAAACTCATCAAAAATAATTTCCGATAACTATGAACTAAAAAAAAATTCCCCCTTGCATCAAAGAAAATGATGTTTGGTAATTACATTAAAAAGAAGAAAATGTGTGAGGTGGATATTTCCTCCCTTCGGCCCTGTGAAACCGCCACTGCTGACAGTTATTTTAGCATACAATACTTACAGCACTTTAAGGATTTATTCCGATGTTACAAAAAACGAATGAATGCGCAAGTCCGGAATTATTTCTTTTTTGAAATAAACAGTTCTATTTGCCCGAACAAGTGTGTATTGAATGAGTTACGCCAAGATTGTGTGTGTGTGTGTATATATATATATATATATATATATATCAATAAGAGGCGAATAACCGGAATCAGAACAAATGGCCACGTCTACACGATCGACTCGCGGGGAATATCTACCCTCTCGGCATCTTGCCGCGGAGCAACCTCCTGCCGCAAGCCGGGGAAAGTTGCCGATTGGTCTTTCCGATGTGTGGTTAGTTAGTGGCATGTGTCTAAGGAAGACAGGAGCAACCAGAAGAGGAAAGAAAGATGCGCGCTACGTGGCCACTTGTTCTGATCCGGCATTCGCCTTAATACATATATATATATATATATATAATATTATTTAAATATATATATATATATATATATCATTATATATATGACAATGTGGCGCTTGACGTAAATCAGCTGTTGACGGTGTCATCCAATCGGGAGCTTGAACTCATCACAGTCCACGAGAGATATATCCAAGCTCTCGATTGGATGACACCATAACAGCTGATTTACCAAGCAATCGAAGAAGAGCTAGTGTCGAAAATCCGCCGTCTGCATCCGAAATCTAGGACTTCCCGTTTCAGAGACAACGGTAATGCTTGCTCTGAGCTAACTCAGACGGTACAAAACATTACGAGTCAGAAACGCCCATGTCGGTACGTGACTAGGGGCGGGAGCCAGGACCTTCCCCGCCTTGCTAATCGAAGTGGCTTCGCTACGCGGAAGTGTGTCTGCGGGAACAGGCGAAGGCGAGCTCTGCCGTACGTTCCAGTTCCCCTCCGGCGCACGGAGAACGTTGACCGCGTAAACAGATGCGGGCAAGTTGGCGGGAAACTCGTCTCGATCCTTCCAACGTGATTTAGGTGTGCGGTGCTCGATATTGCCAGGAGAGCCATCTTATACGATGGAGTGCCAACGCACAATGGCTCTATAATTGTTCCGAGTGTCACATATGCACAGGCGGCTAATGCACAACGTTTCCTCTCCGAGAATACTGACAGAAAATAAGTAAATATACTTTTATTTATACAACATTTAAAAATAAATGCCTTTCAGAGCACAACTTATTCTGCAAATAAATTAAATTATACATTTTCCCGTTTAAAAATGTACAACCTTGTTTTGTATTTTGTTTGCCTTTGTTTCTCATTTAATAAACAGTGCTAGAAGTTTGTACTAGTACTACTGTATCTATACGTAGAATAATGGGTGATTGACTGCTTAAAAGTATATAAAAAGTGATTTTTTTTTCCCGAATGTCAACAAATATGATTCTGAAGTAATTTACAATTAATTGCTTGGTTTAATTTTTATTTATATAATTTTTAATCAAATTTTCATGACAAGTATTAATTTTTATAAAATAATCCCATTTTGCACGTATTTTCTGTATGGTTAGACTATAAAGTTGTTGATCACAGCGAATTGAAAGCAATTTTTGAGCTCTTTGAAAACCCCCTTGATATTCATACATCCTGTATACTCTGAGGAATGGCTTATATATATTATTGATAGCCTTCTTAATAAATATTCACCTTGCTTGGCAGAATATTTTACAAACATTATTTGAAAAAAAAAACAACCTTTTATTCGATGTAAAGGAAGTCAATTTTCTCTAAAACTTGCAGTTCAAAATTGAAAACAAACACTTTGATTTACTAAACTTTGTTTCACATTATTGTACATTAAATAACGTTATTGTACAAAAATAAAAAACCATAAATCAAAAAAAAAATTAATTTTATATTGAGCATAAAAGAGAAGATCAAGTCAACTGGACACTACATCTATAGCTCTCATAGAAAACTTATGATTGCACTAATAGTAATAATCATTATTTTATTTACACCAATTGCACACAGATTTACTCGGTTTTAAACATCTTCGTAGGGGGAAAATAAATCTACATCTCAACTATAATCCATAACCTGAAGTAAACCATTAAGAATGAATTTATTTTCTGTTTTCCCCAGTTACCTGATAAAATTTGGAACACCATGGATGATAACACACAAGATATTGTTCAATACTATATCTTCCAACATAATTCAGACAAAAATTGTGTATTTAAAACTTATGATAATACTACACAATTATTGAGGGCTGCCTTATGCATCATGATGATTTAGCAAAAACATAAAAACCTGCTAATCTTGAGTTATTCTATTACGTATGCCGACATTTCATCAATATAAATTTATTGACAACATTAGGGCTTTACAATGCTTCATAAAAAAGGAAAAGATTTATCTTCACCAGGTAGCAATGTCACAATTCTGATAATCACATATATTTGTCCTGATAATGATTTCAGTAAAAAAAGTATGGATAGCAACATATGGAAATATTATATTATTGTCCCGAAATAAATGTGAAGCGCTGAATTTGGAATAATCATTTACAAATTGTATGTTGGTGGAATGTTATAGCAACTGTAACTGACACAACTTTACTTTGCTTTAACATCTCTAGCAACATAGTGTGTATATGATTCTTCCAAATTCAATACTTCCCATTTATTTTCAGAGAGTTATAATGATTCCAAATAATCTTGTTTCGTCCTAGAATTCTTCTCTATGCATATTATTTTCAAGACAAAAATTTTATGTAATTATTTGAATTGTGTCTTTACTTCCTGGAGTAGATAAATTTGAACTTCTTCACTCAGTAATGTAAAGACCTGACGACATCAAAGCATTTATATTGATGAAACATTGGTAGATAAAATAAAACAATTCCAGGTGAAGCCGAGTTTAAATTTTTGATTAGATGATTGGAATCTACATCATTACTCCTTCTATCATTACTACTGGGAGCTGTTGACAACACACATCAAATACTACCAAATAATTGTTATTTTTAATTTATAATTAGACCAAGGGCAAAATTACAATTACAGCCTTGTATACCGTACAAAATATACAGAAATGAAATTAATTCTTTGACTTTCCACAAAATTAACAAATCGATTAAACATTCTTGATTGATTCCATTTCATTTTGGAATATTTCCAGAAAAACAAAATTCAATAAAACTTCAGGCAAAGCACAAGACATTTTTTTAAATATTTCATTATTAATTTTTTTTTTGGAGAGCATCTCAAATAACTCTTAACACAAGTAGAACTAGGGAACATAAAGGAATATTTCTGTGATTTACCTAATTAACAATGGGTTAAAAACCATTAAGGCATTTGATTGTTATTTTGTCCAGTTTCCTAATAAAGAAATTAAAAGACTATCTTGCACAATGTACATATATTTTTGCTGTACTAGGATGGAATTGATAATCCAGCTATAATAACAAAATAGTAATGACTTAATTTTCTAAATGAAACACAAAACACATATCTCACAGAAAGGTGTTATTAATTGGTAATCTTTCTTGTTTGTGAAACGTAAAGTTAAACAAATTTGCATTTCATTTGTACTGTATTAATTTTTACACTTAGTACGCGACAGAATCGAGAAGTGTAACAGCTGATTTCATCCACATGGCAGAGATTACAAAAACACATCCGTGTCTTGGATGGACGATTATCAGAGATGTGATAGATAGGTAGAAGTATGGTTCACTTCAAACACAATGAGAAGATAAATTCACCTTTGTTGACATTACTGCTGAGACAACATACCAATCTTGAAATATCTCAGTTTTGAGGTTATACAGTTGACAGGATTGGCTACATTGACGCTCCCTACCGTCCTTCCTCATCACAACCCTTCTCCGTCCTCTTATTAAACCTGCACATTTTTGCAAGTCTACGGCACCACACGCTTTTTTTTGGGGGGGGGGGGAATATGAAATAAACAAAAACAAACCTTCTGCGAGACTGATGAGTAGTTGCCCAAGTTGTCTTCTAACACCAAATATTGCACAACACAAACGATTGTAAGCGAAGGACAACTAGCCAGCTGATCGTAGCACGACCTATGACTACACGCCACTCACGCGGCGGCGGCAATGCTCTGCTCTTTAATACGCTTCTCCCACGCGCCCCCTCTCACCCACACAAATACACGAGTGCACACACACACAAGCGCCGTTATGCGACAGCGCTTGCGCGCTTCAGCATTGGCCCCGCCGCTCTTCAAACGGCATTGACTCCTGGACATCGCAGCACTTCAAGTGAACAGCCCCTTTGGCAATGTTTCAGGCATTGTTGTCTCGACTACTTTAATAAGATTATCCAGTACACTTCAGCTGATAAAAAGAAGTACCTGGCAGAAGGGACAACGAATGTCTGAAGTCACGTAGTAACGAGAATGAAGAGTCGTTTTGAACACTTAAAAGTACTTTTGAGAATATTGTGGTATATTTGACGTAAGAGTTAGTGATTGCGAAACAAAGGAGCTAGTGGACCAACAGATGTACTTCCATATTCTCTGTTCTTCATTGGAGAATTCCTCCCCAGAAAGGTACTTGCACTTGCTAAAGCAGGATGCGCGCGTTGTCCAAGTTGGCCTATTTGCGGGTGGAGGGGGGAGGGGAAATGGATAAAATTCAATAGGTGCCCTAAACCAACAAATCTTCTCTACTTTCATAATCCTCAAAAACTGTATTTGATTTTTATTCAAATTTACAAATTTTACGTCAAATAATATAAAAACGAATAAAAACGTCAATATTTGCAACATGAATTGTACGATGAAAGACAATGGTACTTCAAAATTTACTCAGTTAAATACCAGTATACATAGACACGTTGCTATAGTATTGCGTATTAAACTTTTTTGGTACGATATTTTTTCAAGTCGAGTGAATCAAACTTTCTGAAATTAACAAGTGTGAATTCCTTGAAAGTCAGCGGTTGACCGCTGGAGGGTGGGGAGGGTACCATGGTCTCCAAAATCAGCAAACAAGGTGTGATAAAAAATACGGTGATAAATTTATTACAAAGTAATAAGCTTACATAGAATTTTAATTAATCTCCTTGAAAGTATTATTCTTGGTTAGCGATGCATTTGTCCCAATGTTGAATCCATGCCTGGAAGCAATTCTTGAGAGCTTATTTCGGACGGGATTTCAGCTGTTATGTCGTAGCCCTTTCAATGTCGGAAATAGGTTCAAAATGTTTTCCTTTTAACACAAACTTTGTTTACTATTTATTTATTTACTTATTTATTTAATTAATTAATTTAAGCGTAAGTAATTTATTATTCAATTTAAGGCATGAACTATAAATACTTCCCCAGTGATGTAGCTTCACTTGGAGTCACCCGAGGTGAAACTAATGGTATCCCCCCGATAAATTAAATACAAAAATTTCTATTAGTGGATAATTTATTCATTATTTAATAAAAATACAAGAGTTCTTGCACATAACATTTATTTATAATGTCTGTAATTCAGAATAATTGAAATAGAACTTTTAAATAAATTATTATATAATTCCAACTATAACATTTTTTAATTGGTGTCACCCGGGGCGCTCCCTCTGCCACCCCATAACTCTGCCACTGTACTTCCCCCCATACTATTTGGATCCGCCCCTGCTGGAAGTCGACCTCTATTTACAAAATATAGACAATTAACACATTTATTGGGTGACGATGGCAATATAATTACAGTGATTCCGGCAAAAAAATGGCCGTTAATAGAGGTTACCGCTTATTCAAGGTTAAGAAGTTACAGGAAGCGTAAATCAAATGTAATATCTCTTTAATATTTTTAAAGACTATAAATTCTAAAAACTATTTAAACAAGTAATTCAGAATCTTTGCTTTATTGTGGCTAAAATCAAAATACTCTCTTGAGTTGTCAATATTTTTCTGAGACGAGAAACTCACTCCCCAACTTCCTCGACACCACTAGCAAACTTAAAGATGCGATTTGTAACCTGTAGAAGCTTTGCAGGAGGACAGTTTGATGAAGGAGTATGCAAATGAACGTCAGATCGGATTCACGCACACGGTGTGCTCCGCTAATAGGCTCTTACAGAAGGGATGTACAGATTGCAATCCATAGGAATGCTGTGAATTGGTCATAGCGA